CGGGGTCGACCACCGTTCAGTCATGGAAATGCAGGCGATATTCTCTTGCTATATTCGCCTGTTGCTTCCCCCGTGGCCTCTCCCCCTCTTCATGTTGCCACTGCTACGCCTTCCCCGTCCAGCTCACCTCCGCCATCCAACCCCCCAGGGCCTCTCTTTCCACCTAACCATTTGTCACAGAACCGGGAGATGATCCGATCAGCATCTCCCCTGGTGTGGACCCGGTCTAACCACTCCTTGACAGCCTCCCACTGAACAGTGATCTTAGTCTGTATCAATTGTCAAAGTCGTTCTGTAACTTACACATCCTCCACCCTGGCCCCCTCCTCTCCAGAATGCACCTCCTCCACCATATCACCCAAAGGATAGAAAGCTTACCCAAAAGAAAGATGTTCTCCTTGAAGGTACTTTCTTGGACACTGGGCCAATGTCCTAGCAGGATGGCCCTCCAGTCCCATGGCTATAGTGAGCCCAGAACCACGTGCCGCCAAATCCTGTCCCACCACGGCCATAACAACACGGCTGAGGGTCACTGCAAAAAAAATGTGCTTCACTGTCTATCTTTGTGCCGGGAAGCCCTGCAGACACAGTCGACACCACACCACGGGCGCCCTTGTCGTTCCAGCTGAGTATGATCAACTAACCAATCGTTGGTTGGCAGGCACCGGTGGGCTATCTGCCACTTTAGGAAGGAAATCTTGGCCGGCCTCATTTTATACCCCCTGAACCACTTTATGGACCTTTGCGGGACGAAGTCCACATTGAGATGACGCAGCCACCTGTCTTCCACCACATCGTTGAGCCTTCGCTCGGTTCTCAACATACGATATGCTGTTTTCATCTTTAGGCTGGCCAGCTCCACCGGCATCTGGTTCACCCACCCCCTTGGATTGGTCAAGCTTGTCCGGACCCACGACCACTCGTCAAGGTCGAAAGGGAGATCTGCCATTGGAGTCATTGGTCTGTAAATCCTCCAGCCCCTCCCTTCCTCCATCACCCTGATACGGTAAACCTCCTCCTTCCCTTTCCAAAGAAAGGGTTGCCGGCTCCCTATTAACCAACCATTTTTGCCTATTGAGAAACACTCAATCAGCACCTCCTTCCGCCCTACCAAATGCACTCGCCCTACCTGCTCTTGCTCCTCAGGCAGTCCCACCCAAACCCCCTTCCTCCAAGTGCGGACCCCTCCAACGGATGGCGTACCATGCCAAGGGGAAGTTGTCAATTAGTTCCTCCAGCGCAAACTCAGCTCGATGGCAGTACCGCAGCGGCGCAGCCACCCCCGCATTCTGTCCGTGCTCTTCCACTCCCCTGCTTCCACATCCCAAAGGTCCCCCACCCTAAGAGCCCCATGTTTCACCCAGCCCTTCCACGAGGGGTCAGAACTGCACATCACTCGAACGAGGGAGTCCGTAATCCCCTATTACCAAACAAGGGTTGCCTAAAAACCTCCTCCCACCTTTCCGGTGCCGGCCTATCGGGGATAAGGAGCTTCCTCCACACCCGCAGGAGGCACGACCACTGCTCCTCCACCGGGTCCCGATTTCTATATGTCCGCGGAATTATTCAATACCTATTTTCTAACCAAACCAGGGGGTCAATCTCGTCCTGAGAGACTGAAACTGCGTGGAGCATTCGATGATCCATCATAAGCTGAGAGCCTGAAACATGATTTGTGCTAGAGCTATGGGGATGCAAGGGGAAGACGGTGAAAAAATGCGGCATTGAATCCATCGTAAGATGAGAGCCTGGTGCTAGTGGTGACTGCTCTTATCAGCACCACTATCACTGGCAGGGGTCTTTGTTAAAAAAAAAAAAAAAAGATGAGAGTCTGAAACTGCGTGGAGCGGTCAATGATATTAGCACGGGCTATGGGGAGGCGAACGTGTTCCTCCCGCAGGAAGAGGCTCTGAAACTGCGTGGAGCGGTCAATGATATTAGCACGGGCTATGGGGAGGCGAACGTGTTCCTCCCGCAGGAAGAGGCAGGGGCTGAGTTTGGACTCTACAGCGACGGGGCAGCTGGATCAAGGGACTGCGAGAGTGGAGTGCTACGTGATGGATTGCACGGACTGAGACTTCAGGTGTTTCAAGGCGACTTCACGCAGCGATGGAATTTCCAGTAACTCTTGAGGCATGACCTATTTTTGTTGTGCTTGGGTTTTATGTCTTGTTTTCTTTTTCCTAATATGGGAATTCCTTCGAAAATCTCCTGGATGACAATTATGAGTTCTTAGTTGATCTCAATCGGTAGTTCATAATTTTTCTTGTTGATTTCGTGATCTGGTTTTAGAATCGTTATGGTCCTCTCATACACAATTGATTGTCGAATTATTTTTCTGCCTAGTATTTCCTAATTTACTGTCTGAGCGATGTTTTGAACCTTGGGGTTTTGGAAAGCGGAGTCTTATCTCAAGTCCTTTTGGACATCAGAATCGATTCCTTATTTCGTTTCTCTATTTGGATTTTCAAATCTTATCTTCATCTCGATTGATTTCCTGAATACGATGTTAAATTCATGATCAAACTTCGTTTGCATGACTCATAAAAATTCTTAAACTCGGTTTCCCAGGTTAGGTTGGAAAAAAGCTCGGGAGTTGCGCAAGGGGCGCAGTGCTACTAGGCTCGCTGCGCCCCAACATTTCCAAGATGCAAAACCGGGTCAGCACGACGGGCCGATTGCGACAAGAGGTGGGGGAAGCTGATGACGGGGAGGAAGAAGGTGTGTGAGGGGTGAAAGCGTCAGCGATGGATCATGTGTGGGCAGGGTGGACTTCTGCTGAGGTATTGGGGACAGTGGAAGGTGGTTGTTGGGGTTTGGTTTGGTGGGTTGTTTTCGAGCTTCCTGGCGTATGGAGATGTAACCTGCTGCTGCTGCTTATCTCTACGAGAAGGTGCAATACTTTGTACGGACACGAGATCTCCACTTCTGGGACTGCCTGCGGGGAGCTGTTGGCGGGTTCAGCAGCCTGGTTCCGCAATGTGGTGTGGATAGTTTTGGTAAACGCGCTGCGGTCCGCTATTGTCACCGTTCGACTTTGACTGACCGGAGTGGTTGAATGACGACCGAGATGCTTCAAGGTCGGTGACATGTGGAGGTGAGGTTCGGGAAGGGAGAGTCGTGTGTTGGGTACTCGTAGGTTTCTGCACTATTTTCAGGATTTTCTGATTTCCTGATTGACTGGGTATGATCTTCTATTTATTTTCGCCCATGATCAATATATTGTTGCTGATTACTTTTTTTTAAGAATTTCATGATTTTCTGATTTCCCGATTGACAAGGTATGATCTTGTACTTGTTTTCGCCTGATGATCAACATCTTTTTGCTGATTACTTTTTTCGAGAGTATTTCGATAGTATTTCTTGTATGAATTAGATTCTTTCTAATTGATGTTTTCCTGATACTGCTCGCAGTGATTTTTTTGTGCAATTCCTATTCATGAGTATGTTCTTTGGTACATAGTTGCTTCCCTTAACGATGACCTTAACTACGATCAGGATTTTATATATTCGCGAGTCCAATATTGGACATCTCAAATAGATTTCTTAAATCTCGTTTTTTAATTATAATTTCCAAAAGATGTTTCAGACAAATTTCCTAATTTTTGTTTCTAATTTTCAATTTCTAAAAGTATGCTTCCGAAGTATTTTTCTATTTGAAAAAACCTACGTCTGCAAATCTCAACTTCCTAGTCTTGATTACTGTCGCTGTAAATTTTGATTCTGATTGGCTTTTTCCGCTAATTGTGTTTCAAAGGTTGTCTGGGTCTTTGTATGGTATATTTGCGGCTTGCTTTGTGGATCTGTGAGGTTCTCCTTTAGGGTTGGATCCCCTCCCCGTGACGGTTTCACAAGGTGGGAGGTGTTACCCTTGGAGGGGGGGAGGCAGTATTGAGGGATTGTCCTTTTCTGGGCCAGGCTGATTTAGGGTCGAATCAGCGTCGGCGGTTGGGGAGAGAAGGCAAGGGGGTGGCTGCGTATACCAAGGTGTGAGGATGAGAGGGCTGCCTTGTTTGGAGGGGGTTGGGCAAGAGGAAAGGAGGAACTTCAGCCTGTAAGGTATACTCTAGGGGAATTGTATGCCTTTTAGGGGGTTGACGTGTTCGTTTATAGGCTGCTCCGAACTGGGGCCGAGAGGAGAGGGGGTGTCTCCCGGTGGGGGCAGTGTAGGAACAGGGGGTTTGCTTTTGAGGGAAGGAGTATATTTCAATGTTTTACCGGAAAAGAGCAGGTGTAGTGGTGTATATTTCGATGTTCTGGAGGAAGATTCATCTCTCTCTCTCTCTCTCTCTCACTCACACACACACACACACACACACACACACACACACACACACGTGCGTGTGTAGTAATGTATATTTCGATGTTCTCGCGGAAGATTCATTCGATTTTGCTCATCCTATCGATGCGAGTAGTGTAAGGCCAGTCGCGAGGTTGAAGACTTATATGCTGGCCGCTCTCTCTCTGTCTCTCTGTCTCTCTCTGTTTGTCAGTCTCTCTCTCTCTCTCACACACACACACACACACACACACACACACACACACACACATGCACGCGCTTGCTTGCTTGCTTGTGTAGTAGTGTATATTTCGATGTTTTAGCGGAACAAGGATTGATTGATTGATTGAGACTCCTCCACGGCATTCTCCTGGCTTGACCTCCCTGAAGACACCCAAACTCTGCTCGAACCTCTGCAGACTTAACCCAACACTTCTCCTCCTTCGCGTATATTCTTCTTCTCCAAATCAATCTATCAATCAATCAATCAATCAATCAACCAACCAATCAATCAATCAATCAATCAATCAATCGATCTATCAATAAAGATCGACCTTGGTCAAGACTGATTCATTGATTGATTGATTGATTGATGATTGATGATTCATGATTCATGATTGATCGATTAACTGTGACGGACTCAAAAAGAAAAGGCGATCGAAAGACACAACGAAGAATGAAAAGAAGAAAACGAGACAAGAATGCAAAAAAAAAAACAAACTTTTTTGGCCACCTCCTCCCTCCACCTCCCTCTTTTCCACTTGCCTTTCCCCTCATCCTCCTCCTTGCCTTTATCCTCCTCTCCTCTTCGGGTTTCTCGTCCGCTTCCTCCTCATCCTTCTCCTCCTGCTCCTCGACTGCTTTCTCCCCCTTTCCCTCCTCTTCGGCTTTCTCGTCTACCTCCCCCTCTTCTTCTTCTTCTTCTTCTTCTTCTTCTTCTTCTTCTTCTTCTTGTTGCTCATCCCGTTCTCCTCCCACTCCTCGTTCCTCCCTCGTCCCTCTTCCCCTCCTCCACCTCCCTTCTCCCCCTTCCCCGTACATACCCTTTGCCCAACCCCCTTCCAAGCGCCTCCCTTCCGCCCACCTCCATTCGATTTTGCTCATCCTATCAATGGAAGTAGCGTTAGGCCAGTAGCGGGGTTGGAGACTTACCTCTTGGCCGTTCTCTCTCTCTCTCTCCCTCTCTCTTTCTCTCTCTCACACACACACACACACACACACACACACGATGAGCAAAATCGAATGAATCTTCTCTTAGAACATTGAAATATACACTACTTACCTGCACACACACACACACGATGAGCAAAATAGAATGAATCTTCCGCTAGAACATCGAAATATACACCCAGCCCCTCGACCACCTCTTCCCTCTCCCCTCACTGGCCTTTTTCGACACGGCCCCGCGTCATATACGCCCAGCACGCGACTCCCTTCGCTTGTCTTTTCACGTGGCGCAGCACGGCGCTTTTTTTCAATCGGCGCTTGCTTTTTGCGCCCGCATCGCTCCTATCCCTCATGGCACACCCGGCGACGGGCCCCTGCCACGGTTTCTAATGGGCCCGCGGCGACATCTGTCAGTGGGACCGCTGTTTCTTTTAAGGGTATAGGGAAGCCCAGTCCACTTGGGCATATGCCTTGTCAAAGTCAATAAAGATAATGCCAGCGTTAGCCCTATTTCATCGGGACAGGCTGACCACTTCGTTTACCAGCAGGATGTTCTCTTGTATATTCCTTCTGGCCATAAAACCCATCTGGGCTGGGCGTATGATGTCATCCAAATCTCTGCCATTCAATTTATCAGAGCTTTTGATAGCATTTTGTAAACTACAATGAGAAAGGTAATGGACCTATAGTTACTTAGATTCATCTCGTTCCCCCTTGAAGTTCTTATAAAATAGTGACAAAACCCCTCTCCCCACCACTTCCACTGTTTCCTTGGCTTCCCACACCCTCTGGTAGTATTCCCACAGGTCCGTGCTCAACTCCATCCACATGCTTTCCCAAAACTTCTTGGGGAAACCGTCAGTGTCGGGCTTTTTCCCTTTCTTCATTTGAAGAAGCGTCATACAGACCTCCTCTTTCGACAACCACCTCTCCAAGTGCTCACGCTGTTGCAGGGACAGGCGCTTGTAAATAGGGGACAAGAAGTTCTCCAGCTCCCTGGCCCGTGCCTCCCTTTGCGGGTCCTGAGTGTGAGATGTGTACAACTGCATGAAAAATGACCTTGTGATTAGCGTACAATATGCGATATCAGTAGGCTATGACCTCCTCCCCTTTCTCCGGGTCGTGGAACGCTTCGATCACAGTCCGTCGTGCGTGGGCCGTCGCCATGCTAAAAAACTGTCTATCGTGGCTTCTTTGGTGAGATCAGACATTGTTTCGCATAATATCCTAATCCCTTGCCATCTATGCTGAGATAACTAGAAGAGCTCGTTCTTCAATCTCTGAATGGTGACAACATGATCCTATGAATATACCTGTTGTTCCAGGCCTAGCAAGTTCCTGTGAGTTTCCATTTCCTGTTGTTGGCGCTGAGCTGCCCTTGCCCTGGAGAACTCATCGCACTTCCTTGCGAGAAAGATTAGGCCATTGTTAAACCATGCAGGGTATGGATTGAAAAGAGGCTTTTGTTGATGCCAGAACTTCCACGCGTCCCGAATCATGTGCTGAAACTGCTGGTCTTCCAACAGGGAGGTGTTCAGTTTGTAAAAACCAGGCCCTTCATCATGCCTCTTCCTCATTGTCAAAATCACCCCACATGTCTTATGGTTCAAGCGGAGGATAAATTGTTGAGGAATCAGGTCAATCTGGGACCTGGACAGTCATGCCAGGCGACTGTCCCTTATGCAGGTGAAAGTCCAGTCATTCGGGTGAAGGCAGCGAACGGTGTGAAAGTCTGAGAAGGACTCACACTTTAATGGCAGCTGCCTTGAACCCCAACAAGCACACATGGAGGAAGCACCAAGCACCGCCTAGAGCCCACAGCCCGATGCTATCAACACCAGAGCTGGCTGCCCCAGCAATGACTGCCAGCAACAAGAAGAGGATGCTGAAAATAGCGCGGCAGTCGAAGCTCAAACTCTCCAGACCACTGTGAAAAGAGAATCCAAAAAGAACCTGCTCCCCTTTGCCCTCAGCCTATTTCTAGCTAGACCCTGAACTACTGGACTATCCTACGACCTAGACTGCCTACACAGACACGGCCTACCGGTGCCAGACAAAAGAAACTGGCTGGGGCCTGGAGAATACTGAAAACTTGTGAAAAGGCCCAGTAGGGGACCAGGCTTGGACAATATACCCATAAGGCCCAGACAGGCCCAAACGTGTATTAGCAAAAATGTCCCCTGAGGGGAACGGGCCTGTTCGGATGCAGGTAAGGGTTTGAATTGTACCCATGGCAAGAACCTTGAGGGATCATCCTGCCAAGGGCCTTGTCCCACCACTCACCAAATGTGCAACATTCGAATGAATTTTCTGCTAGAGCCTAGAACATGTATTTTTTGTTCTGACAGGACATTTTCGAATATAAAGTTCTCTTTTCCTGACAACAATGACCCTGTGGCCTCTGACTTGTCCGAGGCTTTACATCGTAGCACATGCCATTTATAGATTGGCCTCTGACTTGTCCGAGGCTTTACGTCGCAGCACATACTATTTATAGATTATTTGTACTTACTTTCTGGTCCAATCAAGCCGATTGTAAACCACCGAATTCAGCTCTATAACCAGCCCCAGCCTGTGTCGGACAGAATGTTTTAATCATTGAACAGCAAATGGATGACCACCTGCATGTATACCATAAAGGCTTTTTCACTTTTTCATTCTTCTTTTCTTGGGATAATAGAACAGAAATAACCTGTTGTGATTCAAAGAACACTTGACACCAAGCTACAGATCATGCACATGAAGGTCTTAACACCCAGGTGCATTCTGTTTGTTTCTTTGTTTTTTTTTTTAATAATAAATAATTTGGACCATTTCTCAATTTGTGTGTCATTCTTGTGCAGGGGCCATGCCAATCTTCTCCATATCCTTCCAATCTTAACCATGACGGACACCCAGGCGCATTGTTACTGGTCCAGTGTCTGCATTTCCAAGCCTAAAAATTTACGGCATTCCTAACCAGGATTCTTGGTGTTCATTGGTCAATAATATGACATTTTTGTAATTGGTGGGAAAATAACTATCGAAACTACCCAGCGCAGAAAAGGTCTGAAAATGTAGAACACATCTTCTTGCAGTGCCTGTCTGCTCAGTGTGGCCGTGGGACTGTAGGGCACTGCTAACCGGCTACTGCCGCCAACTCCAAGATGCATGTTCCCTCTGAGCGGACAATCCATCCTTTGGGTGCTGTGGTGGAAGAAATGTATCATGAAGATAAAGGGAGCAAGGGTGGAAGTGGGGGAAGTATCTGAACAGTTTAAACAACCCATCCAAGCAGAGATTACTAATCAATGGCAGGCGTCAAGGCACAGAGTGGATTTTGTCCACACAAAGAGAGACCTTAATGGGATTATCTCCCATTCTGCAAAGACTGTTTGGGGGGAAATCGGGGGGCCTGGATGGCAGATGTGACCTGGTCGGGGGACGTACCCCAGCAGCAAGAAGAAGAGGAAGACCGGCCAGAGGCCAGAGTTGTCAGGGACTACCAGCTGATATTTCATGACTGGAGGGCGATCGACCTGGACATACTGCTGAGACCACCTTCAGACCTCCCAGACATTTTTCCCCCGCATCTGCTGTCTCTAGTGGGATCCCTGCAATCAATATACTAACTGCCGAGAGCTACGGAAGGGGAGGAGGGGGGCGAAGACAGGACCCGAGCTCCACACCCCCCTGGAGCCTGGGCCACTTGTTATACCCCCCCCCCTCCCCCTGTCTTCAGGGAACACTCGAACCGGTTTCCAGCGCAAGATTACGGTTTCCCAGGTCGATAGCCAAGCCGGATAAGGGCCCCAGTATTTGCCCAAACTGAGGATGTTCTGGAATGGGACGCTGGACTCAGTTTCCAGCAGGTGATGCTCCCCACCAAATTGAATAGAATGGAGCCCATAGGCAAGGGTACTACCAGGACGCGCTCTACCAGGAAGTGCTAAACCACCCCTGGCTGTAACCCAAGCCTTGTTTACTTCAAAAAAAAAACCTCTGGCTCTCCCCCCCCCCCCTCTACCATTTCTTGATGTATACTCGTGCCATCCTTGCACAGGGGCCAATTGGCCATGCTAATCTCCTCTGTATGGTTCCAATTTTAACAGATGCCTGAACAGAAGGAAAAACACTAGAAAAACTGGAGAGAGAAAACACTTCTTACACTCCCAGAGGTGGAGCAGTCAATGATGGCAGTTGCATTCAACATTGCAAGATCTCACTGACAATCTTGCAGGCTACCTTCAAAAGAACCAGGGCCTACCAATGATTTTGCTAACCCTGATAGCTCACCCTGACCCTGACGCCATTTGAGATTCTGACACAGAAATTCAACATGGCACGTTAGCTCGTCCAAACCACCCGTACATCCGAACTTCATTTTGCCCAGGCACATTTCCCTGCGCGCCAAGCTTCGCTGAAACGCCAGCACGGCACATTTCGGTAGCCCCAAGACTTCCAGAATTTTTGGATTGTCTCTATTTCTATTCCCAAGTTTGCCTGGATGATGTTCTGGTGGTCTTAAACCACCAGTACCTCCAAAAGTTGTGGCCGTTAATAAGCTCCGACAAAGGTGAACGAGCGGGCTACTACAGGAGCGCCAAAATTCATCAGACTAGAAACACTTTTACTCTATTTTCCGATAAACGGGAAAGGTACTGGTGGTTTAACCATTAGTACCAAATACCCATTGCAAATCAGAACTATTTGTAGTGGCCAGGAAATTGGTCAACAGGTTTGCAACATGGAACAAAAGAATGCGGAGTCTTGCTGCCAGAGTCACTTTTGCCATCTGAGATTTTGATCTTTTTCGTAGGAAAGGAAGCTCTCCTCCGCCCAATCCGATGGTTCTACACCACAAGGTCCAGACCAGCAAAGATGGTTTCGCTGCAATGGCAGATAGACCATCGCTGCCTGCCCACCAACGATTGGCTGATAGACCGTACATATCTAGAGCAAAAGGGACGGGCGCTACCATGGTGTAAGTTGTGCCACACTGCCTTCCCCTCCCGCAGAATCCTGGAGACCATAGAACATACATACCTGCAGTGCCCAGGAGCTGTACTTACATGGCGGTGGAGGGATAGAATCTGGACACGGTTAGCCACAGGCTCCAACTGGCCATGGGACTGGAGAGCCATATTATGCGAAACATGGTCCTCCCCCACAGACAACACCTTTGAAAACAATATGTTTAAGTTAGGGAGGAGAGCAGTCATGTGGGCCCTCTGGAGAAAACGCTGCATCCTTGCAATAGAGGGGGTCCGCATAGCTGGGAAGGAAGTAACAGACATGATAAAACAGTTCATCCAACAAGAACTCAGGGTACAGTGGCAAAAAGTCAAAAACCAACTTGATCTATTTCAGACACCCAAAGACATAAAACAAGCAATTCAGCGATTTTCGGGGGACTGGTTGGGCAGTGAGAAAGGGGGCTGGATCGCCTTCGTCCGATGGGACGGTGCACCCACTCAGGAATGCAACCACGACGAGTTCAGGAGAGACTATCTTATCTGCTTCAGAGACTGGACTACGGTGGGACAGGAGATCCCGCTGAGACCATCCACTGATTTTCCCGACTCATTCCCACCCCGGCAGCTGGCAATGGTCGACATGCAATGGTATGGTGCAGGGTGACCAAGGCCCCGGACAACAATACATGGAAGGCATTGGCGGAAGTAGCCGCTAGGGAAACAGGCGACATCTGGCGGTCTGAGGCAGACTGAAGAGGCGGTGGTCTGATGCCGATTGAAGAGGCAGTGGTACGAATTGATGAACATACGGAGCGCCTCGGTCAAAACCATCCACAGAGTTAGCAGATATAGTCAGAGATAGGGGGAGAGGGGGGAACTGGTGTGCAGCAGCAGGCATTTGGCGCCAGGTTCAGGGCGAAGAGGTCCCCCCCCTTGTGTTTTTGGCCTGCTCAGTCAATCCCCTGGACTCCACGGACTCCAGGGTAATCAATTCTGGCAGGCTCCCACAGCATGCTTCGGACACACTGCGGTTGTTCTCTAATCCTCAATCTGTACATGGGACGCTGGACCCGTTTTCCAGCAGGTGATGCTCCCCACCAATAGATGGAGCCTCTCCCCAGGTGCTAGTGGTGTCTGCTCTTACCAGCACCACTAACACCTGGTGAGGGAGTTTTTCCGGGGGGGAAAAAAAAAAAAAAAAAAAAAAAAGATCTTTTTCCTAATATTTTTGTCAAAAGTCCAGCACCAAATCTATGCTCTGGAATATTCTCCAGAACTTCCCCAGAAGTTTGCAATCACAACACTGAGCGCGAAAAATTGCCAACACAGGGTGTACTAAGATTTCTGCACGCATAGCTGACCCCTGGAGGCCACTGTCCCCCACAGCCAGTGAAATCATCGGAGTGACATTTCAATACAGCACAGAACTCAGTCTGTGGTTTAAACCACCAGTGCCACGGACAGTCGCAGCGGGTAACGCGCCCTGACGCGCACGGATGAACAGGCCTGGACTGGAGCTCCCAGATTCATCCAAGTTGAAACGCTTCCACTTTATTTTTCCCGGCCGATATATGGCCGAGGTACATGTGGTTTAAGATTCTGGCACACCATTTCCACATTAAGGTGTGTCCATGCCACTTATCATAGACGAGCACAAGCTATCACACACAGGAACTTGACTTGAAAGTACTGACAGAGTCTGAGAGTGGAGGGAGGGAGGGATGAGAAGGATAGAGAGAGGCTGGGAAGGAATGCACCAAGATTCCAGCACCACCATGAATTCTTGAATGAAGAACAGAGCGAAGCAACTGATGAGCAAGCAGTGCTGCAAACTGTTGGGACAATTACTGAGG